TGGCCTTTCTCTATGTGGGGCATTGATATGATTGGAATGATTGAACCCAAAGCTTCAAATGGTCATCGTTTCATCTTGGTAGCGATCGATTATTTTACTAAATGGGTGGAAGCAGCATCTTATGCCAATGTAACCAGACAGGTGGTAGTCAGATTTATCAAGAATCAGATCATTTGTCGATACGGTATCCCGAGCAAGATTATCACTGATAATGGTTCGAATTTGAATAACAAGATGATGAGAGAGCTTTGTGAAGAGTTCAAGATCGAACATCATAATTCTTCTCCTTACAGACCAAAGATGAATGGGGCTGTTGAAGCTGCTAACAAGAACATCAAGAAGATTGTCCAGAAAATGGTGGTAACTTATAAAGATTGGCATGAAATGCTTCCGTTTGCTCTGCATGGATATCGTACTTCAGTTCAAACTTCAACGGGTGCAACCCCATTTTCCCTAGTTTATGGTATGGAAGCAGTACTCCCCGTGGAGGTCGAGATTCCGTCTCTGAGAGTGTTGATGGAAGCTAAACTTTCTGAGGATGAATGGTGTCAAAGTAGGTATGATCAGTTGAATTTAATCGAAGAAAAGAGATTGACAGCTTTGTGTCACGGTCGATTGTATCAGCAGAGAATGAAGAAGGCTTTTGATAAGAAGGTTCGACCATGCGAGTTCAGAGAAGGTGACCTTGTGCTCAAGAAGATATTATCTTTCCAACCTGATTCTAGGGGCAGGTGAGCTCCGAATTATGAAGGACCGTATGTTGTTAAGAAAGTTTTCTCTGGAGGTGCCTTGATTCTCACCAATATGGACGGTGATGAGCTCCCGCGTCCCATGAACGTCGATGCAGACAAGAAGTATTTCGCTTAGATTTGAGTTGATAGTTTGATAAGTTGAAAACCCGAAGAGGCGGCTTAGGCAAGCTTTTGGTCAGGCCAGTCTTGGCATTTGAGCACATTTCGGAATTCGAAGTTGTTAGGGAGAATAGTGATCATGGTTTTTTGTGTAACCTTTTTATTTCATGTACTATTTCCAAAACGTTTGTAAACCGTTGGAGTCGCATTGTTAGCGAACTACCATATTATTAATGAAATTTGAGCATTTACCTTTTGTGGGCAAAATCTTAATTCTTATGGAAATACTTGAAACAAATTTATTTAAAGTATTCTTATTTTAAAAATGTGTCGTGAATAACGAAAGGAATATTAACAGTTGTTCCAAGGATGGTCAAGCCATGAAATGCAAAACAGTACGGTGTTTTATCCTTGCATGAGGAACATGTCTTATTTCAAATCGTCATGAGGTGTTGGTTGTGTAAGCTTGCGTTTCTGGTGGTACTAAGTTTGGTGACTCCCCAAGTGTCCCAGTTAAGATTTGTTTCAGTTATCTTTGTTTGGGAGATTTCTGAAGTGCGGTACGCTTTGTCTCTTGCCAGTGGTCTATTGGTGTTAGAAGATTGGTTTTGATGCTTTTCTCCTCAAAAGACTTGAACCTTGTAGCGTGATATGCTCTGACGTTGCTCTGTGGTTCCAGTTCCAGTTTATTTTTTTCGTCTTTTTTAAGATTGGCCGAGTATCTATCTTGTCGTGACATCTTATTGTCTTCAAGATATTCCGTCTGCTCGTTTCGTCAGCATAACATTCATTTATTCATTTACACTCATATCAGCATACATATTCACATTTGCCATCGATTTTGGGTTATACTTTGTTTATTCAAATAATGTACATGTTTCTTTCCAAGTAGAAAGCTAGCTTAAGCAGAAAATGTGTTTCCTTTCTAAATTCCCCAACTGAGCTAATCCTCATGGATGATTTTTGATTTAGCTCACCTTGTCCATTTCTGGATGGGATGAATTCCCCAATCGAGTTGCTTTCTCATTGGGTAGAGTCTTGTTTGATTGTTTTCTCTCTAGTTATTACTGGATGAAGTTGTTGTCTCTTGCGTAGGCTATCTCATGATTTTCCCCAGTGAAGTCGCGACCTAGACGAATGGTGCATTTATTTTGCACATTTAAGTATGTGATCTCCTCGGGAAAGACTGATTCATGATTCTCTTTGACGAAGATTTTTATTTTCTGCCAGTGTCATCGCAACTTCCTTCTGAGTTACTTTTTGGAAAACGACAAGCGGCAGTCTCTTCCTGAGCAACTTGTACGTTATTATTACTGTGGAAAACGACAAGCGGCAGCTCTTCACGAGCAACTTGTGCGTTATTATTTTGGAAAACGGCAAGCGGAAATCTCTTTATTTGAGCAACTTGTACGTTATTATTACTGTGGAAAACGACAAGCGACAGCTCTTCACGAGCAACTTGTGCGTCATTATTATCTTGTGGAAAACGACAAGCGGCAGCTCTTCACGAGCAACTTGTGCGTCATTATTATCTTGTGGAAAACGACAAGCAGCAGCTCTTCACGAGCAACTTGTGCGTCATTATTATCTTGTGGAAAACGACAAGCGGCAGCTCTTCACGAGCAACTTGTGCGTTATTATTATTTTTGGAAAACGACAAGCGGCAGCTCTTCACGAGCAACTTGTGCGTTATTATTTTGGAAAACGGCAAGCGGCAGTCTCTTTATTTGAGCAACTTGTACGTTATTATTTTTCTGGAAGACAGCAAGTGGCAGCTTCTTTATTTGAGCAGCTTGTATGTTATTGGTATTTTCTTTGGAAAACAGCAAGTGGCGGCTTCTTTATTTGAGCAGTTTCTATGTTATTGACATCCCTGGACGACAGCAAGTGGCAGCCTCTTTATTTAAGCAGCTTGTATGTCATAATATCTCTTGGAAGACAGCAAGTGACAGCTTCTTTATTTGAGCAGCTTGTGTATCTACAACCATATTATCATCTCAGCAATAATTGGTATATCTCGAAAATCTCGCAGAGAAGTTTGTTATGAATCATTACCTTCCGAAGTCGGTAATCCATTATCAGCAAACTTGATACTTTCTGTCTATCTTTGACCTCGAGTTGTGAACTCACTGTTTTGGGTCAATAATCTGTTTTATGGCCTATGCAAGATGCCTTCTCCGTTAGGGTCAGAGGTCGTCTTCCCTCAATTTTATTCGCTGTCAAGAGTCCGTCGTTTGAAGTCGATGGCTCGTTTCCCCAATAGTGTATAATCCATGTCTCTGTGTTTTGTTGGTGCTTGATTTCTCCAGCATTGTCTTGTCTCATACAATATCTTTCTCTGTGAATTCAATCACTACATTCGTATCAAGCATAATGGCGGTATCTTAGGGTAAAAATTTGCGTATTATGTATTTAAGTACCTTCAATCTCGTCGAAACAAAGATTTTAATCTTCATATCTCCGGATAGAAGAAACTTAAATAGGGGCAGCTGTTGTACCCCAAATTTTGACCTAAGATACCATCTCCCGTCTGCATCGTTACATTGCGAGCGTTTGGATCTTTTGATTTTTAAAATTCATAACTTTTTCGAGTCGAGAGCTGTTTATTTTTTGAACGCTAAATTTATTAATCGATCAATGCTAAAACAATGTTTATTAATTATTTATTATCTTAAATTTAAATAATTGGAATTTATTTTCAATTATTATATAATTTAAAGATTTATAAATAATAAAATAAATATTTGAAAAGAGGTTTATTAATTGATCAAATAATGTTTATTAATTATTTATTATCCTAAATTTAAATAATTGGAATTTGTTTTCAGTTATTATATAATTTAAAGATTTATGAATAATGAAATAAACATTTGAAAAGGAGTTTGTTAATTGATCAAGCAATGTTTATTTAATTATTCATTGTTCTAAGTTTAAATAGTTGAAATTTTATTTTCAGTTATTATAATTTAGAGGAATTAAAAATAGTGAAGTAAATAATTGAAGTTATTAATTGATCAATGATGTTATTTATTTGTTTATCATTCTGAATTTAAATAATTGAAATTGATTTTCAGTTACTATATAATTTAAAGAATTATAAACGATAAATAAATAATTGGAAAGAAGAAAGAATTAATTGGTAAAATATTGGAATTTTATTTACTTTATTCTAATTATTACAATTGTTATTTAAATATTGTATTATTTACAAAAATATTTACAATAACAATTATATAAAATGCTTAAAGTAAAATAAAAACTATTCTAATTTTTCGTAAATTCTAAATCTTCATCTTCTATCCTAAGTTTTAATGAAATGCGAATGTTCGCGTGATCGGACTTGAGGACATGAAGTCAACAAATTTAATCGTTTTTCCCTTGAATTTAGACGTAAACAGAATAATCATGTAAATATGAAATGATTAAATAGAAAAATTATGCGGATAATGATATATAACAATTAAATAAAAGACTAAGTGTGTGAACGTGCATTTTTGTATTTTTGTTTAATATTAATAAAACAAGAGAATTAATTAAAGAAAAGATAAAATGTTACGCGAGAGATTATTGAAAAAATTAATGAGCAGACAAATATTAATGGTTTAGGGTTCTACGGTTCCCAGCAGACAAAAATTAATGAAAAAAATTCAAACAAATTATTTTAGTTTGAGTTAATTTGAACACTTTCAGGTTTTGTTTTATTTTTACCATTCAGGGGCTTTTTGGTCACAAAAATATATTTGTTAGAGTACACTTTATTCCTATTGGTTGTTAACAGAAGTTATGGATCGATACTGAATTTTCCAAACGGAATTGAATAATGGACGGATATGATTGCAAGCTGAAATCATTTTTCCTCTTCATTTGACTATTTAAATAGTCTTCATTTTCTTTGTGAAGCACAAAAAAAAAGATACACCAACAGTAACATTTGAACCCATTTTTCTATCTAACTCCCTTCATTTTCTTCACGCACACAACAACCTCTCCCTGGCTGATAACAAATTCTATGGCCATATTCCTCCTTCTCTCTCATCTCTCTCTTCTCTTCGCTACCTTAACCTCTCCAACAATGTCTTCAATGGCACTTTCCCTTCTCAGCTTTCTACTCTCTCCAATCTTCAGGTTCTTGATCTCTACAACAATAACATGACCGGTTCACTTCCTCTATCAGTTACCCACATGTCGTTTCTCCGTCATTTGCATCTCGGTGGAAACTTTTTCACCAGGAGAATCCCGTCAGAGTATGGTGTTTGGTCTCATCTCGAGTATCTTGCTGTTTCCGGTAACGAACTTTCCGATCATATTCCGCCGGAGATCGGGAACCTTACTTCACTCCGCGAGCTTTATATTGGTTATTACAACACCTACGACGGCGGTATCCCACCGGAGATTGGTAACTTATCGGAGATGGTGAGGCTTGACGCTGCTTACTGTGGTTTAACCGGTGAGGTTCCGACGGAGTTGGGTAAGCTTCAGAAATTGGATACTTTGTTTCTTCAGGTAAATGCGCTTTCCGGGTCTCTTACGCCGGAGCTTGGAAGCTTGAAAAGCTTGAAGTCTATGGATTTGTCGAACAATGGTTTCACTGGTGAAGTTCCGGTGAGCTTTTCTGAGCTGAAGAATCTTACTCTTTTGAACTTGTTTAGAAACAAGCTTAATGGAGCGATACCGGAGTTTATCGGCGAGATGTCGGTGCTCGAAGTGTTGTAGATTTGGGAGAATAACTTCACCTTCCTCCCACCCCATTTTTCTCAACTTCAAGCTCTCACTCACTTTCCTTCTCTTCATCACCGCCTCAGCCTTTTCCGGTTCCGTTGCGGCGCTTTCTTTATCCGGATTTAACGATTCTGGAAGAGTTGGGTTAAGGGATTTCATTTTAGGTTATACAAAGAGTTCATTTTAGTTTAGACCTAATTCAATAATATTAGAGTGTTAATTTATTTTAGATTTAATTTAATAACTTTCGAATTTCAGTTAGTAACTTTAGAATTTTAATTTAGTTTTAGTCAATAACTTCCAAATTTTATTTAATTTAGTTAGACACTTTAGAATTTAAGTTTAGTTTACTTAGTAACCTTAGAATTTCAAATTAGTCTAGATAATTTTTTAATTACACTTTTCTTTTACTCATGATTCTTCTTTGTCCATTCATTTAGTTTCTTACAATTTATCTTGTTATCTACCTTGTTCGTTTCTCGTGGATTTTAACTATTTATGATTTCTTACTCGAATATTAGATCTACCCACTTATGATTAATTCCAAGGGAAATGTTTCAACTCAGCTGACTTCATGTCATCAAATACGTCTTCTACAATCGTGCGAATAGCCTCATTCATTTTTTGCTTGTTTACTATTTTTCCAAACTTAAGATAATTTTCCCAAAAGACTCCATTTTCAAACTCATACCTTTTAAGTCAAAACTTCGACATTAGGTTATCACATTTTCAAAATCTCGCCAACACTTATTTTTAACCAAACGAACCATTTTAATCAAACAAACAACTTTTAATAAAAAATAGACATTTCAAAAGGTTCCTGCGGAGTACCGCAGATGCAGTGGGTGCTAATACCTTCCTCTTGTATAACCAACCCCCGAACTCTAGACCTCTTTTCAAAACGCCTTGTATTTTCATTACTTTTAAAAGTATTATTTTACATTGCATCCTTTAGGGTTTTATTTCGCTCTTTTCCCTTTTCCCTTGGAAATAATAAAGCGCGGTGGCGACTCTTGCTTTTGTGAGTCAAGTTAATTCATAGCTTGATCTCCGATTTCACCGCTACAGAATTGGCGACTCTGCTGGGGAAAGATTAACCTCTTGCTGGTCCATCCATAAGTGGGTTAAGCCTAATTTGTTTTATCTGTTTTATCATTATTTGATTGTTTGATTATATGTATATATTATGATTATTTGGGTGTTGATAATATTTACAAAGGACAAGTCCTATACCCGGACTAAGTTACACTTAGGAATAGGACGGGCAGTATAGTCATGTTAACTTTGAGGGAGTAATCCCGAAGAAGGAGGCATGAGATCCCCCACTCAGTGGAAGGCCCTTTTGAACGTAATATTTGTTTACCGAGTAACCGGAAAGACATTATTATTTTCGACCTGGGAGCCAGAGAAGCTGGGAACCGTAGAACCATAACCCATCTTGGCCTCTTAGGTGTAGCGCGGAGATTATAACGGAGTAATCCGGAAGTAATTGTTACGCGATGCTACGCTCAGATGAGTTTCTCTTGAGAATATTGCCTATTATTGAGTAATCAAGACGTTGGTAATATCCGAAGGAGGAATGTAGACTCCGGGAACTCTTAGAACCTTGTTCTACAAGTGTGATTAAACCGTTAGTACATACCTTGGGGGTGTTCCTTACCTTGACTCCATGCTCGTAACGTTGAACCTTTCGACTTTATTTGTGACCTTGCTTGTGGTTGTTGCATAGCCATGCATTCATGCATCCATAAAACCCTTTTCACTTGACTTTGAAGGAATTTGGAGGTCTTTCTTTGTAAACATCACAAGTTTCGTCAAGCTCAATGGATCTTGGGTGTTGATAGGGCGAAAACCCTAATCCACCAAAAGGGATGATTGATCTTGATGATAACTTGATCAATGTTTGGAGCCAATTTAAAATTCATCTTTTATCTTCATACTTTGATGTTTACAACTTAATATCTTGAGTTCCTTGAAAATCAAATAAAAGCTCTCTTTTGCATATCATACATCATTCTACATTTTTTGTTTCACTTTCAAAGGTCTTTTTTCGAGTCTTATTTTTCCTTTGGTCTCACCAGTACAACACTCGCGCTAAGAGAACAATGGAGAATATCAAGCAAGAGGTTTCTGAACTCCGCAGAGAGGTGACTATTTTGAAAGCTGGTATGGATCACTCAACTGTTTTGGTTGAAATTTTGGTTTCCGCCCAAGTCAATCCTTCTAAGAAGGAGGAAGCGATGATAAAAGTATTCACCGATTGTCATTCAAGGACGTTGGTTTTGAAGTTCAAATCAAGCACGTGCCGAAGAGTAAACACGATTGATGATCACTTTGAGTTTTGAAGGATGTTTTCGGTGATTCAAGTCCAGATGGAAAGCCTTCCCCGATCATTAACTTATTTCTGCTTTTTGTAATTTTTCTTGTTTATCAAAACATTGTTTGCATGTAAGAACTTGTTTGCATCTGTATGATTATCTTAATACAATGAGCATGTTTGTCTTGAAGAAATTCATTCGTTTCACTCATATTTGTTTTCAAATTTTAAATTGCTTTTTGCATTATGATACTAACTTGTTGCCCAGTCTCTTGCAAAGATTGAAGGGAGGATGATGATCTAAAGAACACAAAATCTCTGGTTGTTTGCTTTTGGATAAAATCTTGCTGATGATGTACAGGCATTGTTTCAAATCCCTAAACACCAGAGATATAAGGAAGATAATCCCTTGCTAACCCCTTTTGAGCCTTTGAAGCAGAAGTTTCTTTTCTATACGAAAAAACCTTGAATTTTAACTGGGGCAGGGTAATTTTTAGTTAATCTGACTGAGTGTTCAAAATTTATAAGGAAGATGTTTTTGAAGAGAAACTACGAGGGCTATCCTTCATGTATAATGAATCTAGAGGATGTGGAACCACAATGTTATCCCTCATTCATCAAGAAACGAGGCAGTCACAATCCTCTCAACAAGTAAAGACAAGCTAATGTCACAGTTTTGTTCAAAAATCAAAAATAAAGTAAAAAGAAAAAGCCTGCTAAGTCGAAAACTTGAAAACGTGCGACTTAGGCAAAAATTAAGGCATCCCGCTGGACTATCAATTCAAAAGAATTAGTCCAGGCAAAAGTTAGGGAAAATAAAAATTGCAAAGGAAAGGACTGCAAAGAAAAGTCCTCAGCAAAGAACAAATTGGTGACTACAAACACGAAGACATGAGGGTGGTTTCTACTCCGAAAGCCTCGTCGTTTCCTCGACCGTCACAAAATCCTTTTGAGAGATGAACACTCATGTTTGAATTAACTGAACATAGGGTTGGAGAACATCATGAAGAATGGGTGGGCACCAAATATTTTGAGCCTTAAAATCTTTTTTTTTTAAAACCATGAACTAGACCACGTTACAACCTTCAAAAGTCCTAATTGAAGCAAGGTTATTTTGAAAGCATACTTCAATGAGATAGTGTTCCTGACTCCCATGAATGTTCTAAATAGTTATGTTGGTATCATATGTTTTTCCTATACAAAAATAAATGATGCTCTAACTCGCAAAATTTGTGCGATATCTTTTCAAAATCTTCAAGACTTACATAACTGTTGCATTAGAACTTTCATTCTCATAATAAACTTTTTCTAACTGCAAAACATTTGTTTGATATCAAGGAAGCTCACATATAAGCATTGGTGATGAGTTTATTCTTTTAAGGCCTAAAACTATTTTGAGTAATTGGCGAATCATTTCAAGAAAAATCATATCCAGAGGCATGTCACCTGAAGACCTTGAGCACAAACATGCTTCTTCTCCCAGTTAATGCTTTTCCCAACTTGTTTACTCGTTTAGGGCAAAATTTGAAGACTTTGTTGTGCCAACTACAGTCAATCCGGGGCAATCACGTCAAGATTTGATGAATCTCTCTAAGAGTTTGAAGACACCAGAGCATGGTGAATGCCAGGTCTTTTGTAAAATCCTCTTGAGACGATTTCTCCTTATCAACCATATAGCTTGGGGCATGTTAGAAGTGAAGCTATTCGCAAGAATTGTCGTGCAACATGCAGTTCATCAGCAGTAAACTTGGGGCATCCAAAATTTGTCCCAGGGGCAATCTAGATTTGTCAAGATATGTGATATGTATTGCACACATTATCAGAGGGTGGTGTTCCCAGTATCTCCAGCTAAGCATGACTTTTTCCAGCTGAATCATTGTTCGTGTTGTTATCCTTTCAATGGATTGTCGACAATAGAAGACTGGACTTTGGGTTTTCTACCTGAAAATATCTTCCTCTCCAGAGATATTTAAGCCTTGTAAAAGGACCTTGCTCCAATGATGGCCTGTGTTTTATCTCCAGTAATGTTCCCCTTTTGTTGAGATTAGATGAGCGTCGGGTTGTACTGGGACGTCTTATCATCTTTTGTCTATCTCCCCTATCTGTTTTGTCAACATATACATGACATTCATTCATTCGTTCATACTTGCATCATGCACGCACATTTGTATTTGTTGATATCTTTGAGTTTGTATACCTTGGTTATGTCTATTCAAATAGCATATTTGATCTTTCCAAATAGAGTGTCAACTTAAGCAGAAAGTGCGCCTCTTTTCTAATTCCCCACTGAGTTAACTCTCGTGGAAGAATCTTGCTTTAGCTTTCCTTTTCCATCTCTGGATAGGATAAATCCCCATTTGAGTTGTTTCCTCATTGGGTGGAGTCTTGTTTGACTATTTTCTCTCCAGTTTATTCCTGGATTGAGCTTTGTCTCTTGTGAACGATACCCTGTGGATCTCTCTAGGCTGTGAAACCTAGATGGATAGTGCATTTATTTTGCAACGTAAATACTTGGTCTCCTCAAGAAGGATTTATTCATGGTTCCCCATTGAAGATGAACTTTATTCCCCAGTAGTGTTATCACAACCTTCTTCTGGAATATCGACATGACAACAAGCGACTGACCCTTTATTTGAGCAATTTGATTATTTCTGAATTTCTTTATGTTATGACAAAT